GTCATATCTATCTTTCAAATTACTCCACAGTATGACTGGATCTTTAACAGTAAGATATTCCATTTTCAGGCCCTCATCAAGGTGATGGCGTAGGAATATCATTGCTTTGGCACGATCTTGGTTTGATGCCTGATTTTTATCTTTGATGATGTCTGCTAGACCCATCGCATCAAGATGAATTTCGGCATCAAGCACCCAAGACATGTATCTTTTGCCCGATATATCCAGGGCTACAAACTCAAGTTTAGAAAGATTTGACATTATTTAGAAAAAGAAAGTTCGTACCTCTGATACTTTCAAAGTATTTTCTTGAGATGGCAGAGTCTCGTGCTGATAACGTGTTATTAAATAAAGATAGTAAAGTAAAGACAAGTATAGAGAGAAACTGATATATTATTCAAACTTCAAACTTATGTACATAATGAACTGCATTCTCCTTTATTTATAGAAGAAAAGAAACTGCTGTGTAAGCTGCTACTCTAAGATGTTGTGCCAGATATAGATAATCTTCTACCATGAGTAATATATATCCATAACGGAGTACCGAAAAGATAAGCTTCTTCAGGAGGCTTATTTCTAATAGAGTACTAAATACATAAACATATTTACGGCGCAATCTCATATGGATAAGTTTCTTCAGGAATCTTATTTATAACGGAGTACTAAATGAACATCCATAATATAATATATAATATATATAATATATTTATAATACGACAGGCTTCTAAACTCGATACTATTTTGAAGAGGAATTAAAAAAAAACACAAAAAGGAAAACAGGAGAAAGCGAAAAGTATGACAGGGGGACCCACGTCTATTGTAAAATAGCTGGAATCAGTATGTATCTCTTCACCCTTTTAGATTAGAAGCGGAAACTTCCTTTTCCCTTTTCCAGTTCCATTTTGTTTTAGTATTCTCTACGAACCCTACTACTGTAACTTTTAACTTCCCATAGAAGTTTTCATGCTTCCAAAATCTCAGTTTTCAAACAAAATTCTCTGTTTCGGCACTCTTGTTGACTGCTATTATACTCTAAATTCTGACTTCCCCCCCTCCCCCTCTCTGTACTGTATTAACTGTTAAATATTTGTCTTTTTTTGGTTTGTATGTATGTTGGTGAAGCAATATGGGTGTACTGGAAAAGATATCGGAAGCATTGCATAACAACGAGGAGAAAACGGTGGAGTTAAGGCAAAAAATATTTAATTTAGTTTCAGAATGGGGAACTTTTGAGAAGGACTTAGAATTGTCCAGCAACTGTTTGAAGGAATGCTTCAATGAGATGGAATCATCGGAGATGCATTTAGGATCAGTTCAAGAATCAGCGGCGGAGAGCTTGAAGGAACTCAATGCTATTAGGGAATCAGTTGAACGAAAACGCGAAGAAGTTGAGAGGAAAGAGGAGGAATTGGAATCGAAGTGGAAGGATTTGAGTTTGGCACGAAAAGGGTTTGCTGAGACTGTGAAGTTAAGGGAGGAGAAGCTGAATGATCAGGAGAAGGTGGTGGAAAGGCTTTGGGATGAGGTTGAATTCGAGCGGAAACAAACAGGCGATGTGGAGGAAAAATTAATTGAAATTAGGTTGAAAGAGAAGGATTTGAATAGGATTCAGAGTTGGATTCACCATGAAACACATGCTCTTGAGTTGAAAGATCAAGAATTGGCTGAAAGGATGGAAGAAATTCAAGTCAAGGAACATAATTTGCAGTTCATGAAGAAGGAACTTGAGGATAGAGAAATGGGGTTGGAATCTTTAAATAAAGAGCTGGTGATAAAGGAATGTAAGTTGGATAATGTGAAGAAAGAACTGAGGGTGAAGGAGAATAACTTGGATTATGTGAAAAAGGAACTAAGGGAGAATGAAAATAACTTGCAATCTGTGAAAAAGGAACTAAGGGAGAATGAAAATAACTTGGAACCTCTGAAGAAGGCTCTTGCTGTTAAGGAAAGTAGGTTGGATGGTGTGATGAAAGAAGTAAGACTGAAGGAAAGTAAATTGGAGATAATGAAGAAAGAACTTAGAGAAAAGGAAAATAACTTGGAATCTATGAACAAGGAACTTGCTGTCAAGGAAAATAGGTTGGATAGTATGCAGAAAGAAGTAAGAGGTGAGGAAAGTAAATTGGAGATTTTGAAGAAAGAACTTGGAGAAAAGGAAAATAACGTGGAATCTGTGAACAAGGAACTTGCTGTTAGGGAAAACAGGTTGGAAGGTGTGAAGAAAGTATTAAGAGTGAAGGAAAGTAACTTAGACTATTTGGAGAAGGAACTTAGAGAAAATGAAAAAAAATTGGTACATGCAAAAAAGGAACTAAGGGAGAAGGAAACTAACTTGGATTCTTTGAAGAAGGAACTTACTTATAAGGAAAACATGTTGGATAGTATGAAGAAAGAACTGCGATTGAAGGGAAGTAACTTAGATATTGTGATGAAGGAACTTAAAGAGAAGGAAAAAAATTTAGATTTTGTTAAAAAGGATCTAAGGGAGGAGGAAATTAATGTGGATGCGGTGAAGAAGGAACTTTCTGTCAAGGAAAATATGTTGGATAATATGAAGAAAGAATTGGGATTGAAGGAAAGTAACTTAGATATTGTGATGAAGGAACTTAAAGAAAAGGAAAAAAACTTGGATTTTGTCAAAAAGGAGCTGAGGGAGAAGGAGAATGAATTCGAGTCAGTGAAGAAGGAATTCAAAGCTGAAGCAGATAACTTGATTGCTCTTAGGAAGCAACTTGAATCTAAGGAGGACTTCTTGTCCTCAATGAAGAAGGAACTTGAGCACAAGGAGAAATTTCATGATGTAATGAAGAAGAAACTTGAACTCCACGAGGAACACTTGAAGTCATTCAACGAGAGACTGAATTTGAGGGAGAGAGAGCTTGATTCATTTCAAGAAGCATATAAGCAGCGGTTTGAAGAACTTAATTCAAAGGAGAAGAAACTGGATTCAGTAGAGGAATTTGCAAAAAAAAAACTATGAGGGCTTTCAATCAGAAAAGAAAATATTCCTGGCAGAGCAGGGACTTTTTGAGCAACGCATGAAAGAAGTTATACTTAGAGAGGAAAGGGTTAAGGATAGATTAGAAGAGCTTGAATCAAGGGAGAAACATTTTGAGGATAGGTGTAAAGAGCTCGGAGAGAAAGAGAAGCAGTTGAATGCTATTCCTAATGCGCACATAAAGTCAGAGCCTGCGGAAGAAGTAGCACTGGACAGGGTCAATGCTATTGTAGGTAATTCTACTGTTACAAGTTTTGTTGTGATAATGGATGGAAAGAGGTTGCAGATATTCTTAAATGAGCATGAGAAGGAGCTGGATTTGATGTCTGATGAGGTTTTTAAGGCTCTTCAGATGTCTCCTGACCCTGCACAACTGGTTCTTGATGCAATGGAAGGTTTCTATCCTCCCCATTTGAGAAAGGGAGAAACAGAGTTTGAGGGCAGTGTTGCCCGACGGAGCTGCATTCTGCTGTTAGAGCAGTTAATTAGGGTTTCACCAGAGATTCGGGGTTTTGTGAGGAGAGTAGCAAGAAATATTGCAAGGGATTGGAAGGTTAAGATGAAGGTGACAAAAGGGAACCAAGACGAGATCTTGGGGTTCTTGTATCTTTTGGCTGCGTACAATTTGGCTTCTTCCTTTAAGGTAGATGATCTTATGATCCTGCTGGAGATTGTTGCTAAGCATGACAAATTTGCAGAATTATGTGGTTCTCTTGGTATGAAACAGAACTTACCTGGTAAGTATGTTGGTATTTAACTATTTACTAGCATCCATCTACCACTTCAAAGGACACATCAGAAACGATTCCTGCCATAGTTTGCTAATATGCTTCCAGGCTCCAACACCATATGATGCTGAATTCACTTTAGTGCTCCAGTGACATCGCTCAACCTGCTTTGCTTTGATAATTTCCTTCCAGCGTGCTCCTTGTTCATCACCATATCTCCATAGCCATTTCATAAGAAGGCTTTTAGGTTTCTTTGACAAGAGTAAGAATCTATTGGAATCAAAACATCACAAAGATTGTGCTTGTGAAAAAGCTATAGAATTCGTGCATCAGGTTGATAATGTCATCTGCATCTTGTACAAGGACCTGATTACATAAAAATTACAACAACAACATACCCAGTGTAGTCCCACAAGTAGGCTTTGGGGAGGATCGAGTGTATGCATACCTTACCCCTCCTTTAAGAAGGCATAAAAGCTGTTTCCGGTAGCCCCTCAGCTCAGTAAGGGAAAGGGGAGAGGCAAAATAAGCAAATCGATCTGACAACCGAAGCGAAAATTCAAAACTAGCACTAGGTAATGCAAGTAGAAAACCGAAGCAAAAAACAAGTAGTAACAGAAATATAGGAATACAAAAATACTCAAAAGACATTAAGTGGTGTGTCAAAGCCACTGTTACAAACAAGGACTACACTGGGTTACCTAACCCTTTACCTTTTTTCTCAACCTCCACACTTTCTTATCCATGGTCATGTCCTTAGTAAGCTGGAGCTACACCATATCTTGCCTAATCACCTTTTCCTAATACTTTTTCGGCTTGCCTATACCTCTTCGTTGGCCCTCTAATGCTAGCTTCTCACACCTCCTCACCGGAGCATCAATGCCTCTCCTCTTCACATACTCGAACTATCTAAGTCTCGCCTCCCACATCTTTTCCTCCACATGGGTCACACCCACCTTGTCCCCGATAACTTCATTTCTAATTCTATCTAACCTGGTATGCTCGCTCATCCATCTCAACCACCTTCATCTTCTAGACATGTGAGTTCTTGACTGGCCAACACTCCTCCCCATATAACATAGTCGGTCTGGCTACTGCTCTATAAAACTTATCTTTAAGTTTTGGTGACACATTCTTATCACATAGAACACTGGAAGCGAGCCTCTATTTCATCCATCCCGTCCCAATCCTGTGTGTGACATCCTTGTCGATCTCCCCATTTCCTTGTATAATAGACCCAAGGTACTTGAAACTTTCTCTCATAGGGATGACTTGTGAATCAAGCCTCACATCCACTTCTTGAGTCGCGCCACTAAACTTGCACTCCAAGTATTCTATTTTGGTCCTTCTCAACTTGAAACCTTTAGACTCCTGGGTCTGTCTCCAAATCTCTAACCTATCGTTAACACCATATCGCGTCTCGTCTATCAGTACAATATCATCTGCAAATAACATGCACCATGACACCTCCCCTTGAATGTGACGCGTCAGCGCGTCGATCGCCACGGCAAACAGAAATGGGCTGAGGCCTGACCCCTGATGCAACCCATCACAATCGGGAAGTGTTTTGAGTTCCCTCTCACTGTGCTCACTTGAGTCTTAGCAGCAACGTACATGTCCTTAATAGTCCTTATGTATGCAATAGGAATGCCTCTAGCCTCCAAACATCTCCACATCACCTCCCTGGACACTTTATCGTAAGCCTTTTCTAAGTCGATGAACACTATATGTAAATTCCTTTTTCTCTCTATACTGCTCCATGAACCTCCTAATAAGGTGAATAGCTTCTGTAAGTCTGCCATCTCTGTTGAATTAGTGCGTCGTTCAACAACACTCTATCTTTCTCATCCTTGACACACTTCACTTGGTCCAGGTCACAGGTCTTCTTTTCTCGAACCTTGGCTAGCCTGTACAACTTCTTGTTCCCTCCCTTGCCTCCAAGTTCTTTATAGAGACGCTCAAACGCTGCAGTCTTAGCTGCAGTAACTGCTAACTTAGCTTACTTTTTGGCCACCTTATACCGCTCCTTGTTCGTCCTCTTCTCCTCCTCGTCCACGCTCTCCAACAGCTTCAAATAAGTTGCTTTCTTGGCTTCCACTTTACCTTGGACCTCAGTGCTCCACCACCAGTCCGTTTTGCGGCCATTAGATAGGCCTTTCGAGACCCCCAATACCTCCCTAGCAGCTTCCCTAATGCAATTCGTAGTCGCTGTCTACATACCACTCACGTCCCACTACCCCATAGCTAGCAACTTATCCCTCAACTACTGTGTCAGAGCTCCCTACTTGATCCTAGGAAGACCATACGCAACCCTATTTCTTTGCTTCCTCATAATCTCCAAATCCACGACCAGGAGCCTATACTGGGTCGTGAGGTTCTCACTCAGGATGACTTTGCAGTCCGCGCACGCACAGGCTTTTATCAGATTTTCTGAAGAGTAGATAGTCAATCTGAGTCTTTGCTGCCGAACTCTGAAAAGTAACCAAATGCTCCTCCTTTTTCAGGAAACTCGAGTTAGCTATCACCAAATCAAACGCCTTTGCAAAATTCAATAGCGAAGTTCCTCCTCCGTTCCTAACTCCGAAACCAAAGCCTCCATGCACGTCATCGTAACCTTTAAATGCTGCCCCAATGTGGCCATTGAAATCTCCTCCTATGAAAAGCTTCTCAGTGTGCGGGATACCACGCACAACCTCATGGAAGTCCTCCCAGAAGCACCTCTTAACCTCCTTGTCCAAGCCCACTTGGGGCGTGTATGCACTAATCACATTTAAAGTAAAACCCCCAACGACTAGCTTAATGCTCATCAACCTGTCGCTCACCCTCCTATCCTCCACCACTAACTCTCGGAGATCCCTATCAACCAAAATGCCTACCCCATTCTTGCCCCCACGCGACCAGAGTATCATAATTTAATCCCGTCTACATCCCGTGCCTTATCTCCCACCCGTCTTGTCTCCCGGAGACAAGCTATATCGATCTTCCTCTTATGGAGAATCTTCGCTAACTCAATANTAGATATGCTTATGCATTTGAACTTGTGGACCAGTTCCCACCCACAGCCATTCTGAAAAATTACATGGAATATGTTGAACGTAATTATGTGAATGTCTGCGAGAAAGAGACCTGCTCATTCGAAGAAAAGGTATTATGCCACTTCTGTTGCCAATGTTCTAATCTCCTCCTTTAAGACTCATTTTTATAATGTTTTATTTAACATTTTGCAAATAGATTGAGGCCATTGAACAACGGGTTGCTTCTATTAGAGCTGTTATCAGATGTATTCTGAATTACAAACTTCAATCTAAATATCCGATAGAACACCTTGAAGAATGTATAGAAATGCTTACAAGGCAGAAGGAAGATCAAGCTGCATTATGTGTCATTTATGAGGCTAAAACGCCAGAGCAAGCGAATGTGAATCAGTTGGGTTCTACTAATCCATCTAGTCCCACAGGCACCAAGTCCCTCAATTCCGCATCATTCTCTGCTAGAACCCCCTCGTGCACTTTAGATCATTCCAATGCTATGCCCATTATCCTTATGAACATGAGTGGAGAGGATTTGCAGAATTTCTTAAACAAACATTTGAAGGAGCACAAGTTGTTGCGGAGTGAAGTCTTTAGTGCTCTTCTAATGTCACTGGACTCGGGGATGCTTGTGTTGGAAGCACTGGTAGGGTTTTATCCTCCAGACTATCAGAAAGAAGAGATTGAATTTAATCGTAATATTATCAGGCAGAGTTGCATCCTTTTATTAGAACAATTCATGGAACTTTCGCCGGGGATTAAACCAGAGGCTAAATTAGAAGCAAGCAAGCTTGCATTTGCCTGGAAAGCAAAGATGATGGGTGAAATGGAAAACCATTTGGCAATCTTGGGTTTTCTTCTTCTTGTAGGAAGCTACAGATTGGCATCTGCCTTCGATAAAGATGAACTTGAGAGTTTGTATCACAAGGTATCACCGCATGTGAATACATCTGAAATCTGTCACGCCCTTGGTATTTCAGATAATACTTCAAGTAAGTAATCATATCTAAGAATTTTGTATATGGTATTGTCAAATTTTTTCCTAGAGTTTGTGTTAATATTGGCTTTCCAGGAAGTGATGATCTTCCTTCCATAGAAGAATCGAAGAGACACAAGGCTCAATGCTGTACAGATGAATCTATTTGCAACAACACGGATATGAAATGCGAAGGACATGATGTAATCTGCAATTGTGCTTCAAGTTTACATCGTACATTAGATCCTGCTTTGCTTGTACTGGATGCTTTCCGGAGTTGTCATCCCACAAAATTAGGGAGGTGTGAAAACTTCCCATCAGTTATGCGGAGCTTCTCTGATCTGTTGGACCAGCTGAGAGAAGTTTCTCCAGAAATTAAACCTCATGTTAAAGTGGGGGCTATTGCGTTTGCAGTTGATTGGTATTCTACATTGATCGGGTCCCAGCTAAATATATCCGAGTTCTTGGCATTTGTGCAGCTTTTAGCTATTTATAAAATAATAGACTCTTTCCATTCAGATGCACTTTTTGGTCTTTTGGAGAAAGTTCAACCAACTGAAAGGGTTGTTACTTTGTTCAAAATCCTTGGGTTGATAGATAAGATCCGATGTATGTTCCTCTCTCTTTCTATTGCTTGTTTCACTTTGAAATGTACTCGCCTGTGTACACACACAGTCACTTCCTAATATGAATAATGTGCTGCACTGCTGCTTGTCATATGAAGGGTCACACATTTCTACCTGTGTTCATTTCTCATCTGTGATGGAATTTTGCTTGCTATTTTATAATATTATTGCCTTTTTAATTGGTTATTTAGATCCTGTTATTGTCCTTTGAGGTGACTGAATTTGTAGGATTCATCTTGTTGTTTTATATTATGCATACTACAAAAAAAAAGGAATAATTTGATCAGACATTCTATGACTAGCATTCATTTTTTATGATGATTTTTTCCCGTTGTAGAAATTGGTTTTACTTTTTCCAAGGAACATATGGAATTACTCCTTGGCGACCGTGATCCTGGCATTCGATAGGTCTATGCTATTAGCCGAAATAACCCTATCTATGAGAGCCTTCTCACATAGTTTATAAAGCAGCAGAGTTGAGACAGGTTGACTGCTAGCTTAAAACTAATCGATTTAGGATGAATCAACAGTCATAAAAGGTTGCACAACCACATTTGACAAAAGGTGAAAGTAGCACACATAGGGGATACAATAAGAGAAGTTCGCTTGCGATAATTTAGTCATATCCTATGTAGATCTTGAGATGTACTGGTCTGCAGGTGTGTAACCATGGTGATTCAAGGTGTTAAGGGAGCAAGGTAGACCTTAAATCACACGGAAGAGGCTTATCTCGAAAGAACTATAATCTCTTCGGATCCATCCAAACTTAGCGGAAATTGGAGTATAATGAAAGAAAAGATCCATATAGCAATACCAATTAGTTGGGATTAAGGCTTGGTATTATTATTACGCTTACTCTAGGTCCAATATTAGGAGTTTATCTTGTTAGGATTTGTATGCCTGTAGAAAAGATAGAGAACGTCTAGTGTCAATGAACTTCAATTGTTAAATATTGTTTAAGACGAGTTTAAATAGAGTGACATGGATAGTGAGGATTTATATGGCGACCCCGACTAGTTTGATTGTGAGGCATAGGTGTTTTATGTTATTTGCTGAAAGAAAAGGTACCTGGTGATTGAATGCTTGAATAGCATCCTAGTCTTTTGAATTGTATCTCTTTGGCATTTTTGAAGAGGAGTTCTGATCTCATTTCTCAGAATAAAGTTGGTGAGAATTTTTGGAGCTGATAAACCTTTGTTTACTTTTCTTTTATTCTGTGATTTTTCCAAATCTTTCGATGTACAATATAACTAGAAAATGCATTCAGTTGAGTTATTTTGAGGGTGTGGTTTGATATTTGACATCATCAGCATTGGCTAAAATTCTTGTTCCTTTTAACGTGCAATTTCTATATCTGTGACCCGCTATTTGAACAAAAAATTAAGTTGTTACTGTAGCTGATGTTTCCATCTGACTCTTGTAATGGGCACTTCAGTTGACAGGGAACATTTTACACTACTCACTTCGTTTTTACTGACTATAACCAAAGACTGAACAGCCTTTGGATTTATCTGACTGATATTTTCTTTCCTTTTTTTTTTGTCTTTTTCGAGTTACAGGCTTCGTCCAAAATCTTATAAATAAAAAGCAGTGGATGGTGGCATTTACTTATGTCTATGAGTTTGATCTTGTTAACTTGGTTTCACCAGTGATGCTCCTGAGGGATTATGTTAGACACTCAGAAGAGATTGCCAAGCAAATACTTCATGCTGGAAATAGTTCTCATCGAGCCCAAGTATGTAGTCTTCTCTTCCTCTTTGGCAAATAACTTCATGATCATTTCTTCTGAAGTGCAAAATCAAGTTTGATCTATCTTTATCGCAGATGAAGGCTATAAGTTATGAAATAAATGCACTAAGAAATGCAGTTAGACATATTGTGGATCGTGGTCTTCAGTCGGAATATTCACCTTCTCAACTTCAAGAACAGATCGAAACACTTCAATTTCAGATGTCAAACTCGAGTCAATCAAGCTCAAATCGAAACTTTACTGCTAAGTTCCAACAAGTTAAAACAAATAAAGGAACTTGCAGACCTGCTCCAATTGCTCAAGTGCGAAAAGAGTTCATGAAGAAACGTTCTGCCCCAGCTGGTGACACTGATGTTATCCACAGGACTCGAAGAAAACAGAACTTTAAGCGCCATCGTCATTTATCCACGAGGAGATGAGTTGTATCAAGTGCTTTATTGACAATCCCTCACGGTTATGTTCTTTATGAGCACTGTGGGAGTGGTTTGTGGAGGAATATTTTGAGGGGGTGAGAAGAGTTTAGTGCTAATGTTTCTTTTGGGTTTTGGGG